CTTCACTGGGTTTCTGAGACTGTAAATATTGTCTGTGTTTCCTGGAGAGCGATTATGGATACAAACTCCCAGAGAGGCATAATCAAAGCATTAGCAATGAAGCTCTGTATGAACTACACCACCAAGGCAAAGTTTATCAGATGAGGCAATCTACTTGTGAAATTTCATCCAGTCCTAATTAAAAAAAAAATTTAAATCTTTCCTTATTTACCCTATTCTTCTTAAAATTCCTTTTATAATTTGGCATTTAAATAACTATTTATTTACAGATATATACATTTGATTAAGATGTTGGCCTAGTGGATAGAAAGTTATGCTACCAAGCAAAAGGTAGGTGATTATAATCTGTGGCCTTCAGGCCTGGTTTTAATTGTTTTTGGCCATTCTTCTAAGTGGTATAGCACGGCTCTGTCCATTTGCTATAGAGGTAAACTCGTGGTTGCTGTAATGCTAAACACTGTGACACTGATGTGTCAAATGTGACAATGGTTACCCAGGGTGGACAGTATTTAGTGGAGCTCCCTGATTAAAACATGCTTGGAAGCAGTAGTGGCATCCACTTTTGAAATTGTTTGCCTCCAGAAACTTAATGAATTTGGAGAAACAATAAAAATTAAACAAGTGTTCAGATCTTTCGTTCATAGAGTCACTATGAGTAGTCTATGACTCGACGGCACTTAATAACAACAACAAAACATGATCATTATGCATTGAACAAGAACTTATTTTCTATATTTACTTGCATATTATAAAAATACATATTTATATATTGTAAAAATGAGCATATATCTGTACTGTAGAATTAAATTATGTTCCATACTTTTTTCAGTTTGATTTAAAATAAGGCAAAATAATGAAAATTATTTTGCTAGTATAGAAATTGGGCAATTGTTAAACATTAAGTTATTGAAACTATATTTTGAGATTGAACACACTGAACTGACTAAAATATAGATGGCTATCTATATAGATAAATAGATACACATATGGATATAGCTAGATAGTTGCATAGAAAAAAATGGTAATGGTAAAAACTTAACAATATATATTAAATGAGAAGATTCTAAGCACACATATTCACTCAATGTAGATTAAGGATTGTGTGCTAGATTTTATGTATTTAAATTTTTTCCTGGTTTTTGAGATGGTCACATGAAAGATTCAAATTAGCCAAAATGGTTTACTATTCTAAAATGATTTATCTGTGAAACCAAAAGAACAGTTTACATGTTTGTAGCAAAAATTTACTCATGGATGTTTATTACTGGAAATTAAATTCAAATCAACTTTGTTATATTTAAACTATTTTTAATTGATTTCTATTTTTTTAGTTAAACTTGTGTTGGTGGTAAAAGTCCTTTTGAAATTTGGGGAAACAATAATATATCCCTCTTTCTTTTTATAAAAGAAAATAATATATACAACATATATTTTAATGTCTTTTTG